TGCTGGACATTTTCTGGAGTTTGTGAATGTCTGATGGGTTCTACAATACTGATGTCTTGGCTAACCAACCAAATCTTGGAAAGTACACATGATTAACTTGAGACCATGGCCATGGGTGCATTAGAAATGCGTAATACAGACAAACTGTTTCTCTAGCAATTTGAGGGGTCTCTGGATTTCACCCACTAATGTGGAGGTAGGAGATGGGACAATTCTCCTGTCTGTAATAATAATTCTTAGTACTTATAAAGCACTTTCCACTATGAAAGCACTTTGCAAAAGTTAACTAATTAATTTGTGCAGCAGTAAATGGTTACCAAGGAATGTGTTATTAGGTTTAAGGACTAAACTAGTGGCTGGAGGCTAAAAAAAAAGTTCAGATATCTCTCAGCCTGGGACTGCCTGCAGCCTATGGATCACCTGATGTTTGGCTCTATGATCTTAGGGACTGGATCAGGCAGGAGGTAAACAATAGGCAAGGTAGGTGGGTCCGCAACCATGCTGACTGCTGGTGCTCCCAGTGGCTGGAGTCCAGTGCAGGTACAGGCTAACAGGGCTAGCTCCCATAGATAAAGGAAACCTGGACATGGGCAGCTGGTGAAGCTTCCCCTGGGGGAGCCTAGCTCCCTGCCTGCCTCTCCCACCCATGGCCCTGCCCACCCTCAACCCCTGCTCCACCCAGGCGCACTCCCCACTCTGCCCCCCCACTTGCTGCGTCCCTCCTCTCCTCCCTGCCTCCCCTGTGAGGCCCCTGCCGCACCCCACATCCCTCCTCTGCTCCACTCCCCTCCCCCGCGAGGCCCCCGCCACCTGCCGCTCCCCACATCCCTCCTCTCCTCCCTGTCTCCCCCATGAGATCCCTGCAGCCTGTTACTCCCCACGTCCCTCCTCTCATCCCTGTTTCCTCCGTAAGGCACCCGCCTACCTGCAGCTCCCTGCGTCCCTCCTCTCCTCCACTCCCACCTGCCTGCAGCTGCCCGCGTCCCTCCTCTCCTCCAGCCCTGCGAGACCCCTGCCGCCTGCCACTCCCCGCGCCCCTCCTCTCCTCCCTGCCTGCCCTGCAAGGCCACTGATGCTCCCTGTGTCCCTCCTCTCCTCCAACTCCCTCCTCACCAAGCCACCGCCGCTCCCTGTGTACCTCCTCTCCTCCAAGCCCCCGCCGCCTGCCGCTCCCCGTGTCCCTCCTCTCCTCCAATCCCCTCCCCCACCAAGCCCCTGCCGCCTGCCACTCCCCGTGTCCCTCCTCTCCTCCACCCCCTCCCCCACCAAGCCCCCGCCGCCTGCCGCTCCCCGTGTCCCTCCTCTCCTCCACCCCCTTCCCCGCCAAGCCCCTGCCGCCTGCCGCTCCCACGTCCGTCCTCTCCTCCACCCCCTCCCCCACCAAGCCCCCGCATCCTGCCGCTCCCCACGTCCGTCCTCTCCTCCACCCCCTCCCCCGCCAAGCCCCCGCCTCCTGCCGCTCCCCACGTCCGTCCTCTCCTCCACCCCCTCCCCCGCCAAGCCCCCGCCTCCTGCCGCTCCCCACGTCCGTCCTCTCCTCCAACCCCCTCCCCCACCAAGCCCCCGCCGCTCCCCGTGTCCCTCCTCTCCTCCACCCCCTCCCCCGCCAAGCCCCCGCCGCCTGCCGCTCCCCACATCCGTCCTCTCCTCCACCCCCTCCCCCGCCAAGCCCCCGCCTCCTGCCGCTCCCCCACATCCGTCCTCTCCTCCCACCCCCTCCCCCGCCAAGCCCCCGCCTCCTGCCGCTCCCCCCACGTCCGTCCTCTCCTCCACCGCCTCCCCCGCCAAGCCCCCGCCTCCTGCCGCTCCCCACGTCCGTCCTCTCCTCCACCGCCTCCCCCGCCAAGCCCCCGCCTCCTGCCGCTCCCCCCACGTCCGTCCTCTCCTCCAACCCCCTCCCCCACCAAGCCCCCGCCTCCTGCCGCTCCCCGTGTCCCTCCTCTCCTCCACCCCCTCCCGTGCGAGGTGCCTGTTGCCTGCTGCTCCCCATGTCCCTCCTCTCCTCCACCCCCTCCCCCACCAAGCCCCCCGCCGCCTGCTGCTCCCCGTGTCCCTCCTCTCCTCCAACCCCTCCCCCCACAAAGCCCCCGCCGCCTGCCGCTCCCCGTGTCCCTCCCTCTCCTCCAACCCCCTCCCCCCACGAAGCCCCCGCCGCCTGCCGCTCCCCATGTCCCTCCTCTCCTCCACCCCCTCCCCCACCAAGCCCCCGCCGCCTGCCGCTCCCCGTGTCCCTCCTCTCCTCCAACCCCCTCCCCCACGAAGCCCCCGCCGCCTGCCGCTCCCCATGTCCCTCCTCTCCTCCAACCCCCTCCCCCACCAAGCCCCCGCCGCCTGCTGCTCCCCACGTCCCTCCTCTCCTCCAACCCCCTCCCCCACCAAGCCCCCGCCGCTCCCCGTGTCCCTCCTCTCCTCCACCCCCTCCCCCGCCAAGCCCCCGCCGCCTGCCGCTCCCCACATCCGTCCTCTCCTCCACCCCCTCCCCCGCCAAGCCCCCGCCTCCTGCCGCTCCCCTACATCCGTCCTCTCCTCCACCCCCTCCCCCGCCAAGCCCCCGCCTCCTGCCGCTCCCCACGTCCGTCCTCTCCTCCACCGCCTCCCCCGCCAAGCCCCCGCCTCCTGCCGCTCCCCACGTCCGTCCTCTCCTCCAACCCCCTCCCCCACCAAGCCCCCGCCTCCTGCCGCTCCCCGTGTCCCTCCTCTCCTCCACCCCCTCCCGTGCGAGGTGCCTGTTGCCTGCTGCTCCCCATGTCCCTCCTCTCCTCCACCCCCTCCCCCACCAAGCCCCCGCCGCCTGCTGCTCCCCGTGTCCCTCCTCTCCTCCAACCCCCTCCCCCACAAAGCCCCCCGCCGCCTGCCGCTCCCCGTGTCCCTCCCTCTCCTCCAACCCCCTCCCCCCACGAAGCCCCCGCCGCCTGCCGCTCCCCATGTCCCTCCTCTCCTCCACCCCCTCCCCCACCAAGCCCCCGCCGCCTGCCGCTCCCCGTGTCCCTCCTCTCCTCCAACCCCCTCCCCCCACGAAGCCCCCGCCGCCTGCCGCTCCCCATGTCCCTCCTCTCCTCCAACCCCCTCCCCCCACCAAGCCCCCGCCGCCTGCTGCTCCCCACGTCCCTCCTCTCCTCCAACCCCCTCCCCCACCAAGCCCCCGCCGCCTGCCGCTCCCCGTGTCCCTCCTCTCCTCCACCCCCTCCCCCGCCAAGCCCCCGCCGCCTGCCGCTCCCCATGTCCCTCCTCTCCTCCAACCCCCTCCCCCACCAAGCCCCCGCCACCTGCCGCTACCCGTGTCCCTCCTCTCCTCCACCCCCTCCCCCGCCAAGCCCCCGCCTCCTGCCGCTCCCTATGTCCCTCCTCTCCTCCACCCCCTCCCCCGCCAAGCCCCCACCACCTGCCGCTCCCCACGTCCCTCCTCTCCTCCAACCCTCCCCACCAAGCCCCTCCTGCCTGCCACTCCCTGCGTCCCTCCTCTCCTCCCTGCCTCCCCTGCAAGGTCCCTGCCGCCTGCCACTCCCTGCATCCCTCCTCTCTTCCCTGACTCTCCCATGCGGCCCCCGCCACCTGTCACTCCCTACATCCCTCTCTGCTCCACCCCTCTCCCGTGCGAGGCCTCCACTGCCCGCAGGGATGCGGCAGGCAGGGGGACCTTGCTGGAGAGGAGGGGGGAGGAGAGGAGGGATACGGTGGGCGGGGGAACCTTGTGGGAAGGAGAGGAGGGATACGGTGGGCGGGGGGACCTTGCGGGGAGGAGAGGACGGATACGGCAGGCGGGGGGACCTTGCGGGGAGGAGGGGGAGGAGAGGAGGGATACGGCGGGCGGGGGGACCTTGCAGGAGAGGAGGGGGAGGAGAGGAGGGATACGGTGGGCGGGGGGACCTTGCAGGAGAGGAGGGGGAGGAGAGGAGGGATACGGTGGGCGGGGGGACCTTGCAGGAGAGGAGGGGGAGGAGAGGAGGGATACGGCGGGCGGGGGGACCTTGCAGGAGAGGAGAGGACGGATACGGCGGGCGGGGGGACCTTGCAGGAGAGGAGGGGGAGGAGAGGAGGGATACGGCGGGCGGGGGGACCTTGCAGGAGAGGAGGGGGAGGAGAGGAGGGACACGGCGGGCGGGGGGACCTTGCAGGAGAGGAGGGGGGAGGAGCGGAGGGATACGGCGGGCGGAGGGACCTTGCAGGAGAGGAGGGGGAGGAGAGGAGGGATACGGCGGGCGGGGGGACCTTGCAGGAGAGGAGGGGGAGGAAAGTAGGGATACGGCGGGCGGGGGGAAATTGCGGGGAGGAGAGGACGGATACGGCGGGCGGGGGGACCTTGCGGGGAGGAGAGGACGGATACGGCAGGCGGGGGGACCTTGCAGGAGAGGAGGGGGAGGAGAGGAGGGATACGGCGGGCGGGGGGACCTTGCAGGAGAGGAGGGGGAGGAGAGGAGATACGGCGGGCGGGGGGACCTTGCAGGAGAGGAGGGATACGGCGGGCGGGGGGACCTTGCAGGAGAGGAGGGATATGGTGGGCAGGGGGACACCTTGTGGGGGAGGGGGATAGAGGAGGGGCGTGGGGCAGCGGGGGCCTTGCATGGAAGGGGCAGGAGTGGTGGAGAGGAGGGACTCAGCCAGGCAGTGGCTGATGGTGGGGGCCTCAGGGAAGGGGCAGAGCAGGGACGGGAAGAGATGGAGTGCAAGCGGGGCCACCATGGCCCAGGTATCCTACGGCAGGTCGACACAGGCTGCACTGCGGGGCTCAGGTTCTCCTGGCCTATTATACCTGCCACCTATGGACCTGGGGTTTTACTGGTGGACCTTGTGCTTACAGGAAGAGGGTGGGGCAGAGGTATGTGTGTGACAAAGAGAGGTTTCACAACTAAGCTGACTGTCCGGGGAAGGCAGAGGAGGGCATACCTCCCTGATTTCATTTTTACCTAAGACAGGACTGAAGTGATAGAAGGTAAAACATGACTCATCAGGGATGTGCCGTGAACTTAAGGGCTCTGGCCTGGCTTCTCAAAGGTATTTAGTCACCTAATGCCCACTGAAATCTGTGCCTCAATCCTCAGCCTCTAGTCCAGCTGCTTTTGTGCTGTTCAGGGAGATAGTGGTCCTAAAAGGGGACGGGAGTGAAGGCTACCCACTGCCGTGGGCTGGGCTGGGCTTCCACGGCTTCTGGGCTCTCTAGCAGCCTCTCTTCTTGGGCAAACTTCTTTTCCTGCCTCCCCACTCTCTGGCCAGCTTCACCGTTTCAAGTTCCCCTTCTCCAGGTAGAGCATGGTCTGCAGGTGCACTTAATTGGCACTGCTTGTGAGCATGGACACTCCTTAGGCTTGTGGGGTGTGTCCCATCACAATGTACCCTAACTACAAAGTCACACAGGGAATCTGTGGCTGAGCTGGGACCCGAACATACATCTCTCGAATCTAACCACAAGATTAACCTTCCCATCTGATAAGCAACACACCTGCATGGTGCTTAACAGACAAATAGAAAACACAGAATCTGCCCAGCAGACTTTACATTCTCAGGTAAGGTGCAACCTGAAGAGTGATTGAAAACACTCTGCCAGATCTTCAGCAGGTGTAAATTAGATCAGAGGTCCCCAAAGTGTGGGGCACGCCCCCTTAGGGGTCACGGAGGAAAGTTCAGGGGGCTGAGGTCTGGGCCAGCCCGCATGGGAGGCGGGGAGGGAGTGCCACCCAGTTCTGCTCCTGGCCCCAGCCCCGGGCCTGGCTGCTGGCCCCACACCTGGGGCTCCACTCCTGGCCCTGCGCATGGGGCCCCAGCTGCTGGCCCCGGGTGGGTCTCCACTCCCAGCCTTGCCGCCACTCCCAGCTAGAGCCCCAGCTTCGGTCCCCCTACCCCTGTCCACATTTCCCCTGAAGCCACAATCCCACTCCCGGCCCTGGTAAGGGGGGGCGTGATCCTGAGAAGTTTGGGGACCACTGGTATAGACCAATTGACACCAGCTGAGGATCTGGCTCTCTGGCGGGAGAGGAGAATGGAGGAGAACTGTAGCTGCACTGAGCTGAGGTCATAGCTTTAGCTCAAGCGGTGCGTGTCATAGAGGTACTAAGGGGTGTTTGTTTATTTTTGACACTTCTGTGTGAATGCTTTAAAGAGGAGGTCTGGGGCTTCTCCACTGCAATAACACAGGCTAAGAAGCCAAATCAGATCACTCCCTTCTCCTAATTAATTTTTCAATAAGATGTCACTATTGTGAAGGCTACGACAGCAAACCAGCTGTGCCAACTAAACACAATCCTGAGACCCTTGGAAGCAGCTCCTGATCTTGATTAGGCTTGTGCAAATTTGGAGTAACTCCTTTACATTCACTGGCCCGAACTGATTGGCAATGATACCTTACGCTATTTGGGCACATCTTAGAATATGCCAATGACATGAAATATATGAATGACAATGTGCTTCATTTTTTTAAGTGTGAAACCTCCTTGCAAAGACTTGGTAGTGCACCCTACTCACCAGTGTTGTCCTGCTGCTTGGTGTTTTTTATGTATGCAGAGAATTTGGAGAAGATATCTATCCCCGCAGTGTTTGATTCATGATGTGTAGCAGCCAGCTTGGGGTACCTGAAAAGGAGAGGAGCAGTCTGGAAAATAATGTTCTATTGTTACCAACAATATACTGATAATCACAAATGCTGTTTAGAGAAAGAGGGGGGGAAAATATCCCTATTCCCGGAACTGTAATTATGGCTGTCATTTATCTCAGCAGGACAGCTTGGCAAACCCCTTTTAATAATACTGCTGTCCTGGGAAGCCAGGCATTTGGAGAGTTACATGGTGATGGTTTTATGACAAGCGCTTAATGTGAACAGCAGCCAAGGTACAGTGGCCTTAAATCAGAAAGAGGCATAGATTTCTAGCAGGGTGTGGGGGAGTTTGGCAGCAAACTCCCTCTATTATCAATGGCAGACCTGTGCTTAATTCCCGGTGCTGAAAATATAGCCTAGAATGTAACAGCAAGGAGTATTAGTATAACAAAGGGGGACGAATGTGGAGTTTTGATTGTGTGTGTTTTTTTTAAAGAGACATCTGTTACAAAGGAGCATATTGATTTGAAAGACCAGAGCAGATTAAGGGCTTGATCTAAAGCCCACTGAAGTTAACATAAGGATGCATATCTGATCTCCTGCATCCAGCACTGGCCAACAGCTGATGAGTCAATAGAAGGTGAAAACATCCTTTTATGCAGCTAGACATTTTTCAGATTCATAGAACTTGAGGTCAGAAGGGACCATTAGTTCATTAATACAACCTCTTGTATAGCACAAGCCAAATAATTTCACCCAGTTACTCCTGTTTTGAGACCAATAATTTGGGTTTGGCTAAAGCAGATCTCCCAGAAAGGCATCCAGTCTTGATCTGAAGATATCAAGAGATGGGGAATCTACCACTACTCTTGGTAGTGTGTTCCAATGATTAATCACCCTCTCTGTTAAATATTTGTGCTTTATTTCTATCTTGAATTTGTCTGGCTTTCATTTCTTGTCATGCCTTTCACCCCTAGATTATAAATCCTTTTAGTACCTGGTATTTTCTTGCTATGAAGCTATTTAGACATTGTAGACAAGTCACCTCTCAATCTTCTTTTTTGCTAAACTAAACATATTGAATTCCCTTAGTCTCTCACTATAAGGCATTTTCTCCAGCCTTCAAATAATTTGTGGTGCTCTTCTCTACATCCAGTCCAATTTTTCAATATCCTTTTTAAAATGTGGACACCACAAACGGACAAACTATTCCAGTTTCGGTCTCACCAAGGTTTTGAACAGAGTGTTGTGCTGTGTGTTAGGAGAAAACATCCTGCAAGTATTAATCATGCAAGCAGTCTTTACACATGCAAGCAGAACCAGTGAAGTCAGCTGGACTGTTCTATGGGTAAAGACTATTCCAGTTGCAGGACTGGGAGCTTCTTATAAGCTCCATTCCTAATAAACTCTGACAGTAAAGCACAATTTGTTACTTTGGAGGTGCAAGCATCTCCTCCAGGAACTCTTCGATTTTGTTGATATCTGTCTTGACCTCTCCATTAAAAGTCAAGAATGGCGGGTGGGTTCCAGGGGCCAAATTGTGTAGATCAGCTGGCTTTCTGCAGAGAGACAAGGAAAATTCATGTTATCACCAGACATTTATTATCATAGAGCCCTACTGATGTTCATGGCACTCAGGAAACCAGTCACTTGTACCCCCTTATTTCATTCAGTATTCACAGTATTTTGAAAGAGTCCTATTTAATACACAAAATAAATTTTTTCTACAAATAATCAAGAAACTGAATCTCAACTGCTCTGTCGTGTGTCTTTGGCACTATGTGCCTGATGCAAAGCCCACTGAAGCCAATGGGAGGGGGAGTGTCTTTCGAATAAAGAGCGAACTATGGGCTATTGTGATGGTTTTCAAATAAATTAACCAATAACTTGTTACCTTTTCAGGTCAACTGTGGTGACATTAAATACAACCCCTTTGAGCCAGAGGATCATGAAGAGACGCTGTGAAAAAGGACAGTTCCCAATACTCTCTCCATCAATACCAGCCTAGGGAAAAGAAAGGGAAAATAATGAGTATGCACTATGGACTCTGCTCACATCCCATGAGAGGGAAAACTGGATATCGACATAAAAATTACCAGACTGAAAATAAACAATACTAGGCAACAGCAATGTAGGTTATCACCAACAGAGTAATGGAATTACTCCAGGCTTAGCTTTGGCCAGTAGTTTGAGTGAATATCCTAGCCCCTATCATGACACAAGGTCTGGCTAGGGAAAGTGGGTCCCTAGCCATTGTTTAGCTAGTTTCTGGAACATTGTATAGACTCTTAATTTTCCCTTTCCACATAAAATAGGCTGTGTAACAGAGCTGTTAGAAAACTCAGGGGCAGGTCTTCAGCTGATGTAGATTGTCATTGTCACGGGACTTTGATGGACCTATGACACTTTCACACTAACGGAGGCTCTGCCCCACAGTCCCTACCAAAAAAGGATCCAGGAGAAGACTTCCAAATCAGAATCCAAGCATTTCCAACATCCAGGGATATTTGGATCTGGAGTTCTAGTTTACATCAATAGAAGAAATAGGGCTCAAACTAAGACATTTGGATCCAGACCAAAATCTGAACTTTTGCAGAGTTCAAGGGAGATGTCTTCACCAGAGTTCCAGTCTGTGCCCATCCCTAGTAGCTATTGAGTTTCTTACAAACAGCTGCAAGACAATAAAAAACTGCTAGTCTTAGCATTGAGGAAATGGCCTGTTTTTTCCTTCAGAAGTTTATGGTCTTTAGCCATGCAAAGATATAAATAACACTGGCTAAGCTGAGCAAAAACTGTATCCAAGGTCAACATCCTTGCATAATAATTACCAGGGTGGCCAAAGCTTTCAGGATGATAATGGTTTTGATAAACTTAATTTTAATTTGTGGTATCATAGTGTTTAAAAGATTCTTATGATTCTGGTGAAGCAACCAACCTTCCCTTGTTTACTCATATGGGTTGAATAACTATGATTTATGCATACAGAGTATGTCTGGGATATGGGTGATTAAATAATTTAGCAAATACGTGTTCTTTTCTTTTGAAAAAATACTGCATTACTGTCATAAGTTTGCAAGTTTTGTCTCCTTGGTACTGAAGCTGAGAGGCAGCATTAGTGTGTTCTAGAGCAGGAATCACTTCTAATTACTACAGCTCTGCAAAAGGTTTGTGTAGGCGGCGAAATAGTCCCGCTATTGTGGGAACTTTCCTGGCTTATACACTACCTGGTGAAGTGGGCTAGTGAAAGGATCTGAGTCCTTGCTCCCACTTCCTTTACCCAGAGGCCTTCCTGCCCTCGAGGGCTCCCCTTCCACTCTCCTGTGTGGCAGAGTCCTCATGGCCCCAACAAGGCCAGGCCCAGGATTCCTGGAGGGTTCGATCCCCAATCTTGTTGTGGTCACTTAGGGCAGGGGCTAGAGTGTCCCCACTCTGGGGTGCTCTCTCTGCACTGGAAGCTTCCCTGACCCACTGATCATTACATACAGTTCAAAGCAAATACAATTTATTAAACAGCAATCAATTTTTAAAAAGATAAGGAAAAAATGGGAAAGTTTAAAAGGAAAACGCATAACTCCGCTCTGTGGCACTGGGACATCACAACCAGCAGACTCTGGAATATAAGGGAAGTTCAGAGTCTGCTCCTCACACATCCCAGGCCTCCTTCTCAGGCCCTGGTTGTGCTGCAGGGATGCTGCGGGCAAGACACTTGCTCTATGCTCTGACAGTGGCCACATGCCTTCCCGCTCTATGTGGCAGGACCCTTCTTCCCAGCGTCAGCCCCCACCCCCATCAGGATTACAATCCCTGCCCCCCCCCCCAAGTCTGGCCTGCAAGGCATCTTGGCTGGGGTGTCTCCCCGCACTCTATCCAGCTGGCTGCTCACCGCACCCGGCTCTAGACTGCCCCAGCTCCAGCTCCGCTCTGCCTCAGCACTGATGCTGCTCTGCCTCCAGCCCCCTGGGCTGCTTTTCTGATCCTCTGGCTCTGGTTGCTATAGCTCTGCTCCCAGCACAGGTCTGCTCTCTGGACTGCTTCTGTGGCTCTGCTCCAGCACTGGCCTGCTTCCTGGGCTGCTTCTCTAGTTTTCTGGCTGGCAGACTACTCCCCAGCTCAGCTTGGGCCCCTGCTCTCTCCTTAGCTCAGCCCCACCCTGTTCCGGGCAATTCCAGCTCAATCACATGGAGGATGGGATCCCCCTGGCCCCTGAGTCCCAACTCCCTCATTAGGCTGCCTGCCCTGTCAATCAGTCTGACTTGGAGGACTGGCCTCTCCCTATTGTTTCCAGGGACTGTCAGTCTCAGGGTCCTGATTTCCCATCGATCCTTCCCCTTCCTTTTGGTACTCAGAGCTAGCCAACCAAAAAAACCCACACTGAGTTTTAGTAAGGGGACAATGGTCCCCTTACATTTGCAATACAACCAGAAACCAGATAGAACTTGGCTGGTTTTTCCAAACTTGGGCTGTTTTGTTGAAAGATTTGCTGCTAAAGGTCATGAACCTTTCAGGTGACCAGGGCTCATTTTAAGGTGAGCCTGTGTTTGCAGAGACATTAGATTGACTCAATCTGCTAAATTCCAATTGATTTTTCCAGTCTTTTAGGAAGATAGGGGCCATTTGAAAAACTCTAATTTGGATCTAGGTTCAGATTAAAACACTCTGAGTTTGAGGACATTCAAATCTGAAGGTTTGGTTCGAGTGTCTCTCTACTTGAAACCATGGATTCATCATGCATTTGATTTTGACACGGAAATAGCAGAACCTGGGGTAAAGCTGAAGGAAATACATTTGCACAAATCCCTGGGAAGTGGAGTAGCCCAGTTTTGCACAGCTCTGCAACATAACATAGTTATTTCTGTTCTGCAAATTGCATGGTAAGATCAGACACTGAGTTACCATGGAAAACTGGGCACTTCCACGTTGTTGGACCCAAGTAATTATTGTGAAATTACACCCATTAAACCAGCGCCAGTGCCTGTTAACTTCTTACTTTTCCTGAAATGAGGGTAGTGCTATAAGTGGATATGCTGGCCTGAAGCCAAATTCTCCTCTCCTGAATATCATAGCAATTCCACTGAAGCTACAGCCAGCCTATTATATGGATAAACATTTGGAGAACAATATAATGGCCACTGAGTCCAAGGAGAGATCAGTGTAGACAATGGGCCTTACATATGTCTCGTTTACACTGGTTTATTAATTCCATTGTGTGATTCACTGTTGCCCAGCCCTTTGTGCGAAGTGGTTGTGAAATGTCACCACAGGTCACACAGCCTGTCAGTGGCAAAGTGGACAGTAGAACCCACCTAAGTTCCCTCTAAGCTACGCGGCCACACAGCTGCCTAGTAAGCCCTGCACAGGGGCTCAGGGCTGCAGCGGGGAGAGGCGCCCCACCCCGCCAGCCCCAGCGTGGACCAGCCCCGGATTTCCTGCAGCCGGGGTAGAGGATCCCCTTCCTCAGCCCGGCCCAGGCCTGCCACACATCACCTTTGTACTGGTGCACATAACAAAATTCTCTCTTTGCAGAAAATATAGGCAAGGTTCTGTTAGTTCAGTGAGTCTTCCCTCATTACTAATAATAGCAGCCAGTATTTTAATATGCAACAGTCAGAACAAGAGAAAAAACCTTACATAGGTAATAACTTCAGAGGGCAAGCCGGACATTCTTGGATCATTTGTGAAGTCTATTAATATGCCAGGAAGAGAAGGGAGCTTCGAGGCTTGCTCAGATTGAGTAAGTTTGCATGATAGCATCTACATATCAATTAAATAAAAGCCCATTATATACTTGTCTAGGACAACATAGAGAATAAATACCATTTTAGTTCAAATAAAAAGCCAACGCAGTGGACAAGGAAGAGAGAGGCTAATAACTGGCAAATTGAAGAAATTAGATTTGTTCTTGCTGCTATTCAAATTGAATTTGCCATAGAAAAGCAACTGCATACGTGGTCTCTATTGCATAGTGAAGTGGATCAGACATTCATTCATAAGACAGAAACTTGACGATAGATGTTTCCTCACCAGATTTAATGCTCACACTTTTTTCCTGATGGTGACTGGGGTTGTATTTGGGGATTGTATGTTGGTGGTTCAGGAGCTAAGCTAAAATTTTCTGGAAATTTATATTTCTTAAAGTATCTGGAGTGTAAGGGATATATCTATGGAAGGGTAACAAAGCTCTCATGACTGCTCAGAAATCACTTCTTGCCCTCAGAAACACTGATCAGCCAATGCCTATATGTTCTAGTGAATAAGGGCCTGACCTTGCATATCTTAATGCATATGAGTGATCCTTACTCATGTGATTAATGAGTACTTTAAGGTTTGCAGGATCAGACTCTTACTGCTTATAACTTGATAATACTATAGAGTTTGTGGGGAGTGGGATTTCTCTAGAACTGTCTCCCTCCATCTTTGAAACATCCCAGTTTGCTCATGTGGTGTCAATTAAACTCAGAGGAATTTAACTGCTAGTAAAAGGTGTCTGTTATTTTTCTGATTACCCTCCAGATTCTTAAATACTAAAAGTCCAATTACAAGAGGGTCCTCCCCTGGAACTCAGTATAAACATATTAGGACAACTCCACCATCTCACCAGCTGCTTGCCTCTAAGTGGGTCGGGGGAAGAATGAATGGGATGTTCTGTCCTATTACATATAGGAGACTCCTCCGTACATAGTTCAGCTACTTTTATTTTATTAATTCTACAATGCAGGGTAGAGGAGAGCAGGGGGGTTGGTAATTCACTGAAGAACAAAATCAGGTGGGTTTAAAAACAGGTGTCAGTAACTTTGAGCCTGATTCAAGTATTTATTAATAGTATCAGTCAGTACCTAGAGACCCCAACCGCTGTCCAATGTAGTTAATAACTGTGATCAACAGACTCTCTCTAAGTGCAAGCTATTATATCTAGTAAATGTAATAGGCTCTCTCACTCATTCCTGAAATAGTCCAGCTGGTGTGCCCACTCTGATATACCATCTCACAGAGGGAAATGAACATTATTTTAATTAACCTTAAAAAAAACATGCAGCTTCACTTCCAATTATTCCCAGAAAGCAACAACTTGAAAGGCAAAGCAATACTGTCATTAATTATGGTAATAAAAATGACTAAGCATCCAGTTTAAGTATTGTAGCAGAATATTGGAAAGTGCTGGATTTCTGGAGGATCAGGATGTATTCAGAGCCATCTTATCTCCTTGTGTTTTAATTTTTCACTGTACTGGGATCATTCTGCATAATGGTATGAAGTTTTTTTCAGGTCCCTTTGGACACTGTGGCTTGTATGCAGATGTTTTTGATAATGCTCATATAATTTTCTTTTTCAAAGGGATTTTAACAAGTTAGCAGAAACAGGAACACTAATTGATCTACATATTTCCTGGTGAGGATTAACGAGAGATTCAGTTTTATCGTTCTTACTATCAAAATCTAATTTCATGCTACACAGCATTACGCCCTCTCTGTTTTATAATTGGGAAGGAGTCTGCCTTTTGACACTTACTCTAGTTACTCTTAGAACCCCAGGGGGAAGTAAAAACCCTATCTGAAATGTAGACCAAGCCAGGAAATGTCCTATTTATTGTGCCATATTAAATATTTACAAGATGAGCTCAAGCATGCCAATGCATTCCTGTAGTGAAGAGCTTCTAGTCTTTTTTCCGTAAGATGTTCTTGTCCAAATATTAAAGCCAGTGTGCTGTTTGGAGTGCCATCAATGGAGAGACAAGCTAAGAAGGGTATATTCATAGTGTGGTACTGTTAGGTCTCCATTAAGAACTTAATCGGGTATCATAGGCATTGTGTAAGACAGGACTTTCTCGTTGACTGTAACCCCGGTTCTTGAAAGCATTTAACTATGAGCTGAAATACAGGGTAACTATATGCTTGTCTTCATGCATGTACTTAAGTCCCATTAACTTCAATAGGAGTTAAGCATGTATTCAAGTACTTTCCTGAACAGGAGCCTATAATAGCAATACATTCTCAATTTAACGT